AAAAAAAAATCTAAGATAGCTATTTTGTAGAGTAGAATTTAAGAAAAATTTTAGTAAAAAAATATCTTATTAATATTCAGTAGTAAATATTCTGTAGCGTTTTGAAGTTTGTAAAAATTTGATTTTCATGTACTATTTTACGATTATAAACATTGAAATACGTATTGAGAAAAGGACAGAAGAAAACGCTATCTTTTCAATATACTTTTGAATGAGAGTGATAAGTAATAATTGCCTTATCTAATTTCTTATCATGGTATTTATGCCAAGTTTGTAATGTATACACACTATCATCATATGTATACATAGTAATCATGAATGTATATATATATATATATATATATATATATTCTTAGGTATTGTTAGGGATTACTTGATACGGGACCGCCATAAGGTAGGCGAAATCAAGTTGCACTGGAAGTGGCGTAGAGCTGTATATTTGTTGCAAGAACAAAAAAGTAATCCAAAACGTGTATAACTAGCGAATAACAACTACAATAACATAATTATAGAGTTGATAAGGTGTTGCGTGAACGTAGTGTCGCTACGGAACATGAATAGGTGCGTCGAGCGGTATTCTCGGAGCAATCCAGATAGAGTGGCGTGACGAAGATGACTTGCACGTATATTTGTGACGGGTCGTCGTCGGACGTGCCGCACATGCTGGACTTTGTACCGTGGCGCATGGCTTGCGATATTAGTCAGTCGAACCATTAACACGTGTAGTAGAGCGACGCTTGATAAAGGTGGCGCGTGTCGTATCTGTATTCAACAACACTTCGAAGCGAATTCTTATGATCTAATCCATGAATTACGCTCTTAGAAACAAATAGTTTGTTTTGGTGAAATATATTTTTCATTTTTTGGTAAAAAGGTTTTGGCTATTTTAATTTTGTGCTAATAGGTTTTCCCCGTATTTGGTTCCAAGTTTAATTTTACCAATATTATTTGATTACCAAGTTCTTTCTTTATTAAAGGTGATATAATATTAATTCTGATTTAATTTTAAATGTTTTTTGTTTATTTGTACGTTTTCAAATCGAATGGCAACAGACATCAAAAAAATCATTGTAAAATTAATATCTTCTCCGCTTCGCATCGAAGTTAAAAAAATATACATATATGATTTATAATAAAGTTTTGTAGTAAAATAATTGAACATTTTACTTTTACTTACTCACTAATCTAAATAAAACATAATTAAGAAATAATAAAATAAAATAGTATTTATGTATCATGGTTAACTTCGTGTTTTTTTATGATAATAGTATTTTTTTTTTTTTTGATGTACTTAATAATGGCAAAAATAGTAATTGGTTTATATAACTGGTATCGCCATTTATATTTTTAGTTGACCTATCGTACTAAAAAAATGTTGAACAGATTTTCGGAGTCTATAAGTTTGTTCAGCCACACTAATGTAATTTTCTAAAGGTATCAACAGTGACCTAAGCGAGTCAACTTTTTTATACGCATCATATATTTTTTGATGATCAGTTGCAAGTTTTATTTGTAAAGTTTTCGCTAACTTAGCCGCGTTAGCTACTTCTTCTTGTGCTTTTATCAGCTGCATGCTAGCAGCAAAAACGTGACTCCTTGATTCAGATAATGCGGCAATAGCATCATTTACCCTTTGCTGGGTCTTCTCAGCTTCCTGATTACTAAGTTGTACATCTGCTTTCGATTTGAATATTTGTTCAGTTATTTGTTTGGTGAGTATCTAAAAATAAAAAAAATGTGACGAGTTAATTTAAATATCATACTATTTACTTTTAAGTTGATATAGAATTTGTCATTTTAAGAATAAAATAATTGTGTATTTAATATGCGATAAAGTAATTTCTACATATTAATTTCCACTTGTTTAAAATTATAAACAATGACAGAAATAAGAACTGAAAAACTAATTCCAAAACTAAAAATCATGAGTTTGAATCTTTGAGATATATATGGTTTAACTGATATTAAAATTTAAAATTATTTATTACTTATTAATAAACATTCTTTTAATTTTTTTATTATGTTTTTAAATTTTACTGAGAAGAAAAGTTTTTTGTTATTTGACATTACTTACCTTTTTTTTTTTGTAATTCATTATCTTCTAATAATTTATCATGATTTCTTTGTTGATCTATTAATTCAAAAGATTTTATAGAGTACGTTCTTTGAACTGTCGTCGAAAGAGTTTGTGATATTATACTATACATAACAATGTATAGTATAGTTATGTATATTATACATAACTATCGCAAGGTCGTCAGCAAACAGAAAATGTCTCGTTGTAGGACTTATTTGTATAACTATTAAAAAGTAACGGCTTCCTTGAGGTAGGCCGTTGTTTTATTTTTTCCACTTGCTTTTTTTCCCCTGTATTGTAACATAGAACATACGGTCTTTTAGTATTGCTCCAATTATTGTTGTAAATTTATAGTCTTTTGTAAGTTCATAGACCTTTTTTCTGAGCAGCCAGTGATTGACGGTGTCATACGCAGCACTATGGTCTATGTATACAACGCCAGTGAGTGGGGTTTTCCCTCATAACCATTCTCGATATGGTTTACAGATTCAATACTTGACCCGTGCAGCTTCTTCTTGGCCGGAAGCCCGCCTGTTCCTTAATTAGTTTTCCATCTATCGCTAGTACAACTCTATTTAAAATTATTATTTCGAATAATTTATACATATGGCACAACAATGACACTGGTCAGAAATCACTTGCATCATTACCTGTTTTTCCTGGTTTGAGGAGTGCAACTACTTTTGCTTTAAGGCATATCTCTGAAACTCTATCCGTATCTATGCAATCATTAAATATTGCCAGATTTCAAAGTCTAGTTATTGGTCCAAATTTCTTTATCTCTGCTGCCCAAATTCCATCTATTCCTACAGCTTTTTTACATTTCATATTGTCGATAGACTTTTGTAACTCGTCCATTGTGACTGGGTTTTTAAAATATTAATATTTTAATTATTTTTTAAATATTTGATTATTGAATCTAGTGGTTTGTAGAATTACTAAAGTTTTTTATAAACATAAAATATTATCAATTATAAATTTGGCGCTTCAACGAGGAATTATTTATTTTAATGCGGATATGCGTAGCTAAAATAATATAGATAATGCATTAAAATGTTCAATTCATCGCTAAATACTAACTTATATTGTCATAGTTATTTAAATTTTTTTTTTTTTTATCCAACTAGAAAACAAAAAATCATGTTTGCACAAACATCCAGATTTGATGAAAAAAATTTATTCGGAACCATCTCCAGCCGATTACTATCCACTTTACCGTAAACATCGAATAAAGGCAAATATAGTTAGACATGTCAAATAACAGGGCAGTTTTTTAGAATAAATAGAAGAATATTAATATTAAATTTTTTAAATTATAACAATGAATTGATTTTTTTTTGGATAGATAAACAAAAACGTTTGATTTATAAAACATTACTCCTATTAGATCAAATGCGTTTCTATATCGTTTATAGGATAAGAAGTTTTTACTCTATCGGAAAGGAAAACTTGCCATTAACATTTTTGGAATGGGCTATATAAGAAGATGATATAAGATAAAATATAAAGAAACTTAAAATTATGAATTTGAAATTATACTATGATTTTCATTATAATAGTTTAGAGTTTTAAAAATGCATATTAAAGATTATACTGTTAACTAATCAATTAATAATAATAGATTAATCAAATAATAAATTACCGTATAATAATTAGATTAACAAATATTAAAATTTAGTACATACAAAACTGAGGTTGTTTAAAATAGAGTGTAAATCAATATAATATAAGCAAGAATTCTACTTTCATTCACTACTATGTAATTATTTCGTTATTGTTCAGTGTGCACATAGTTGTAAAAAAATACTTTTAAAAAGTATTTTAAATAATACTCAAATATTTAAAAAAATAGGTTTAAAATATTATTTGAATACTTTTCATACAAAAGTATTTTAGTAATACTCAATTTCTTTATAAAAGTATTTCAAATACTAAGAATACAATTAAAAAATAATAATAATGTTTTTATTTTAACTAAAAGCAAAAGGTTCTACCTAAATAATTACTAAGAGGGTAATTTGAGTCAAATATTGAATACTCTTAAATTAAGAGAACTCATTTATTATTTTCGATATTTTTTGTTAGAGGTAAATAAAATTAATTATTGGAGACTAATCAGTAAAAAAAATGAATATTGGTACACGTGTAAAAACCTGTAAAGTATGTCTTATTGACAATAGAGTAAATCATTTGAACCTGCCATAGGCTATTGTAAGTTCAACTGATGCATTAAAAATAGATGTATACATAATAGCATTTAGATAAGCACAATAATTATGTTATACTATAATATAACATATACAATAACAGAGAATTATTCTCAATTTTTATTTTGACTGAGTTTAATTTGCTTGCTGTGTTACGGTTAGCATATTAAAAAAAAAAGTATATTAAATACTTTAAGTACTGAATATTAAACAGTATTAAATACTAAACAATTGTATTTAAAATACTACTCAGATACTTTTTATTAAATGCATTTAAAAATACTATTCAATACCAATAAAAGTATTTGAATACTTTTATTCAAATACATTTACTCAAATGCTTTACGCATTTGAGTGTGCATAATTATCAAACAAATAACAGTACTGTGGTGATATAATTGTTTGCATTTCTTATTATTTATGACATCTTGATGATTTTATTTCCTTTTCTTTTGATAAATACAAGACCGACAATAGAAATTTCGCAAAACAATTTCGCTTAAGTTTTATATATTTTTTAGTGAATATAAAAATGATTTGTTTTGGTCATCATCTTAGTTTGCAGAACCCTTCAAAGATAAAGACCTCGTGTTGCGGAACACTTCATGCATCGACCTTGAATAAATACTAAATTAAAACATTCAAAAGTATTAATAATCGTGTCTCTGTATTAATTCAAACGATTTCAATGATTTATGTGACACCTTAATATTTTTTCAATCAGACGACAAACACTAAGAGTACAACCAAAGGATTAAATTCATGGGAATACAGACTACCCTGATAATATAATGACAAGTATGACAATTGATATTCAGAAAAATGTGGGACATTAGAATGAAAAAAATTAGCTCACGTGATGTTCTCAACAACTAATTTATTTATGCCGGTTGCCATAGTGTCGTATATTTTAAAGATTCAAATTTTTAAATCCAAGAGGGATTTTAGAACTGAATTAGCATGGGGGATTATTGTTTTCTGTGGTGTTATCATAATTGTTAAATCATTAAAATAGCCCTTTTACTTTATTGATAATATTCTCACGATTACCGCCGAAACTAAATAATTTAAATTCGAATAGAAAAATTAGAATTTTTTACACTATACAGTATAAAAATAAAAATATTCATAGTTANAAAATTAGAATTTTTTACACTATACAGTATAAAAATAAAAATATTCATAGTTATTCATCAAAGATAAAAACGCATAATACTATTATTTACTTTTTAATTTTTAAAAATAAATCTTGTAACTTTGAGATACACTTTTAAATTGTGATCATTTTTAAAATTTAGAGGATTATGAAAAATTGAAAATCTTTAAATAGTTTCAATAATAAAAATATTTATAATTTTACACGCGCAATTTGAGTGATTTTTACTTCTATTGCTTATTCTATTTTCTACTAGAAATACTTTTCTCATTGTGAATATGTATCAAATGATGAAAATGAAATGAAATTCATGTCAGATTTGAATTTGTTTGAGAATAGTATCATATTTTTAATGAAGTAGTTATTTTTTAACGCACCATGAGATTTTACGTTTTCACATAAATATACTCTATCAACAACTCCAACATTAATTACACTTTATCAAACACATCAAACCATAAACGTGTTTGTCACTTCAAAAACCTTGTTAATGTAACACTAAACCATTAAACCTAACGGTGTGAACTTAACAAGAGGGTTCGTTATTTGTGGTACATCCCTCAACTATTGTTCTTTTAAATTTGTTATTAGTATTCGTTTGAAAAAAAAAATACAAATTATATAGCATTTTTGTTGGCTATTAACAATAAATATAGTTATAACAAAACATTTAAATTTATTATTTCAACGATAGACATTATAATTTTATGGTACGTAGACGGGAGAACACATTGCAAATGACGGCGAGTTGTGTTTCTGTACACTAGTGTCTAAAAATCATGTGACTTTCCAGGTTTGGCGTTGTTTCACAGAGTGAAATCACAGTCACAATGAATGAATGAAGAACATTGAACATAAAAAAAATAAGCACTCAACTCTTTTTCGAGGTAAATATAAGTATTCTTTTGTGCCAAAAATTTAATAAAAACGGTCACCTGTCTTTGGCCCGTTAAGCGTGTGTACATGCACATAACAATAATAAAAAATTTCAGCGAAATAATAGACACAGGTACATTGTGTCTTATTCCGTGAACGGCAACGGCGCGGGGGAAATGTCTTGGGCGACCGCAGCATGTGCACCGCGTCGGCTTGTACGTTGGATTTCATGAAAGGATGTGTGTGTGTGTGTGTCGGACGAGACTATGATGAACTCGTCTTCTCCGCTTTGTCAACAAACATTGCTAACACTGTGATAATAGCGTGTTTTCCTCTGTGTGCACACCAATAAAAGGAGTAAAAAGATTTATTTGGACGACACAAATATTAAGACGTACGATCCCTTTTGTCCTGCTTAGCAGTAATTCATAAACGTTGTATTGCCAACACACACGCGAGCAGAACGGCAGATGCCCTTTTTGTAACTCCCCCCGGACACAATAACACCGCTAAGTAAAGGTGACGACCAAGGTCTGGGTTTTTTTTATTTCGCTACATCATTTTCGGTTGTTTGCCCTCCAAGTCATCTCGGCTAGAAATAGTTTTTATACAGAGCGATTCTTTTGACGCTAGCTGCTCGATTTCTCTTAGAGCAATACATTTTTTTGTAAGTTACACATTTATCTGTCATAAAATAATTATTATTTGGTCCATCCTCAGTGTCTTTTAGAGGAGTCAATTTTTTTTTTTATTAATAGCCACATTCATATTTAACTAACGTATAAAATAAAAAATAGCATAATTTGGAAATTGACTGATCCAAACAACTTTTGGACCAATACTTTGAAAATGATCAGCATTTTAAAATATAGTCTGGACGTGAAGCGCGAATGTTGCTATTTTTATCATTTGTCATTTCTCGGCCGTTCTCCTTCTCTGCCAAATTATAAAATTGTCAATATCCTCTGATGCAAGGGTCTAAAAGTTATTATATACTGGTCCATTTGTTAATTAGATCATTTTTTATTTTATGAGCTAGTAAAATATATATAGTGCTATTTAAAAAAAATAAAGTTGATATCTCTATAAATACATTATAGGTATAACTGAGCAATTTTCGATAAATCTTTCTTAGCGTTTACCCTTACTTCGGAGATACGAATATTAAAATTAAAAACGTGTTAATTGACTTAAAAATTAATTAAATGAAAAATTATTTAATTTTATACTAATAAAAATTTGTTTAATAATAACTTATATTCGTCTAAAATATTTTTTATTTTCATAATTAGTTTTAGGTTTATAATCAGAATTTTTTCTCCACAGTTTTTAGTAAATTATTTAAAAACATCTTTTTTAAAAATATCTATTTTAGGTACAAATTGTTCAACATCATTATAAATTTATTTTTGTCTCATTAGAATTTAAAAATAATTACTCAATCCAAAGAAAAATTTTTCTAACCAGCCAAGTATACCAGGTCGAATAACAGAAACAGTTTCGCTTTTTTTGTCGTATTCAAATCCTAATTCTTCAAAAAATTGCAAAAAGTTGTTTTCACTTTTTTCTAATTGGGTTTTTAGAAGAACAATCTTTTCTGATGGAGGTATTTGATCATCGATTATTTCCTGAATTGTTTCTGTTATTATTTTAAANATCTTTTCTGATGGAGGTATTTGATCATCGATTATTTCCTGAATTGTTTCTGTTATTATTTTAAAGACATCTTGTATTTCTATTTCTACTTTCATTCTAGAATATTTGTCTACAAATTCTTCCAAATGATATTGTGCATTGATTAACCTTGTGATAATGCCATTGATATTATTTAGTGTACTATCGGGGGTTCGTAGAATGAAGATGGCTTTGGAGACTTGATTATTTTCCATTAAATTTGTGTTATCACCATTATGGTACATGATGCTTAAATAAGATAATGACGTTACCATCAATGAAAATACTAAATCATAGCTGTTAATTAGCTCCGTGAGTACTTCAAAAGCATCCCACTGAATATTTGCTCGACTTTGGAGCGTAAGAGTAATACTTAAAAATTCCACAATAACAATCAACCATTCACTGTATAAGCTACTCACAATGGTATAAAATTGTCTAATTTTTTTTTTTAAATTATTGTCATTTACAATATTACCGGTTTCATCTGTTTTTATTATTTTAGTTATTGTACATAAACGATTTTCATCTATCACACCTGAAGTAGCATTATGTGTTTTTAAAGTTTGCCAAAAAGGATTTTTCAATAAGCACTCCATTTCTTTTTTACATTCAGCCGTTGTTAGTGATATTGTAAAACCAAAATGACACAGATAAAGAAAACTTAATATGTATAATGAGTACATTTAATTTTCAATTAAATATTTTTCAAAAATAAATACTCTCAGTAGAAAAAAATTGTAGGTATTTATTGTAAAGAAATTTCAATATTTTGTAATAAGGTTTTATATAATATGCAAAACAAAATTTTACTGAGCTCAATGTTTAGTTTTTGATGAAGTAACTATCAGTCGAATATATATTTATATATATTCAATGATCATTATATAAATTATAAAAATCATTATTACGCCATTAAATTTAGCTTTGCTACATTTATGAATTTACAGTTGCTATATTTTTGCAACTGTTTTCTGCCAAAATAGTAAGTAAAACACACTTGAAAATGAAATATAAGTTGTAAAATATGAGTTGTGTTATTATTCATTTATGTATGTATATATATATATATTTTTTTTTTTTTGAAAAAGTATACTATATACTTTTTAATGAACTATGTATTTACGTAGTATACAAAAAGATCTGCGTTCTATAATTTACAAAAAACAATTGCATCAAATTTTCTGAAAATTATTGAACATTAGATATTATTTATTATAGAAATAAAAGTTTATATTATAAAAAGTTATAATATATTCTATTCTTTTAAAGATATTGCATGAAAAATAGATAATCAATCACCAAGTAGTATTATTGATGAGAATAGTAACGTAATTAAATTTTTTTTACTAAAATTATAGAAATAATTGATTTTAGTAACAAATTTTGAGAAGTTCCTTATTAAATATAGACTTTTAAATTTATTTATTTATTATAAAAGAATTAAAAAAATTGTCTATTAGTTATACATGAAGGCTTGTTAAAAATACTTTTAAAATGTATTAAAAATATATGCGTATTCAATTAGAGCAGACAATTGTATTATATTACTTTGAATATAGGATTTTCTGTGTAGCATCAATTGATTGTCGATTTAGTTCAATCTAAACATGGCTTTTATTTTATGATACATCATGTAATAAATTACTTGAAAATATTTATATATTATTTAAATTATAGAAAATTCATTTTTTATTGTCATTTTATTTATTAATATTGTTTAACAGTTTAAATTTCGATCTAGAACACTTCATTTTTGTAAAAAACAAACTATAAATACTATATAAACGGAGTTTAATGAATACAAATATTCTTATCCTAAAGATTCAACTAAAAAATCAATCAAAATTTTGAGTTATATTTCAAATATTTTTCACTTTACATCAATACTTAAAATAAAATATTAAACTTATTAGAAAAATGTACATGAAATATTCAATGTGTATGGTATCATTTTACTTAGTGGGAATCATTTTAACAGTAAAATCGGATTCACGTATTGACAAAATGGATGTTCTATTGAAGAATAAAATTTGGAAAGACATGTCAAACTTTGATAAGGAAGCAGGAATAATAGACAACGGCGATTTATGCAAAGTTAGTGAGATAATAGCAAAAATGAATGATAGAATCGTTGATACAATCAACTTAAAAACTAAAATTCGTCAATATTTTACTCTGTTAAGTTGTGTGTATAGTGAATGGTTTAAAGTTATTGTTGATATTTTGAATACGATTATAGTACAGCAGAAAGAATCTGGTATTGAGTGGGATGCATATCAAGTACTTAAAGAGCTTATTAAAGACTATGATAGAGCAGCGTCAAGGATGATAAGTTCACTTTTATTATTAATTGACTGGTTTACCGACAGCAATAAAAAAAATAGACCTATGGAAAATAATCAAGTTGTAACTGCCATAAATTTACTTAGGACATCGTTTTTCAAGGCAACTAATATTGATAATTGTGTTAAACTTTTGAACAATATTAATTTATTGTTAGACGAATTCCAACAAAATCATTTAAGAATAAAGGAAATTACATCTAGAAAAGAAGAAGTAAAAGCTTCAATACGCAAATCGGTTTCTGACGCCATAAAATCTCTAAGAAGTCCAGAAGATATACAGGATATTCTTAAAAGTTTTATAAAAAAAAATGAAAACAACTTCATAGTTTATTTTGAAGAGCTCGGATTTGGATACAACGAATTTTTTGGAACTTCATTTGTGTTAACAAATCCCAGCAAATTAAATGAAACTCAGAGTTTATATCTAGGAATGCGAAGTTATTTTCTTAAATATTAAATTGTTATTTACTTTTTCGTGTTATTACATAATTGGTCAGTATTTTTAACTGTTGTAAAATTATAATAATGTGCTGACCTTTGTCATGACATTATTGTTTAATGTTTTTTTCCAATTGTAGAAAATTGAAATTCAATTATTTATCACACATTATATTTTTGAGTCAGGTAACTTAATATATCTTCTATTCTTATATCTATTACATACATAGGGTATCCCACCGTGATTTACTAATTTTAACATTAGTTTGTATAATCCAATTAGTAAATAACGGTGGGACACTCTGTACATCATATTTAGTAATAAAAAAACTCAGTACTTTCTTGATATACTAGATACTGTAAAATATAGAAATGAAAATTCACATTTTTACAAATTTTAAAACGCTAAAGTTAATTATAACAATTGATTATTTATGTTTCATGTAATACTTTTTAAACAAATATGTTTAAAGCTATACGTTTTTCTTTCTAGTATTTAATAGTATCCTATTTTCAAAAATGTTCAGAAATAAAATTCACCTATCCCACCTTTTACCCCTGTAAATTAATATTAATTTAATTTTTGTTAATGGAATATTTGATTAACTAGCATAAAATAAAGAAATTATCTAAATGTTAAATTGACAGGTTGTTAACAATTTTCAACCAAAAATTTGGAAGTTATTAACACTTTACTATAATTGTGGGCGAAACACGAGTTTGACTATTTTTATCTGAAGCATTTATGAACTGCACTATTCTATCGCCCAGTATAAAAGTATTAATATATTTTTTTAAATACTTGTTCAAAAGTTGTTATTTACCAGTCGTTTGATTATTTTTAAGTTAGTTACACTCATACAGAATGAACGGTTTATACCAATCAATTAGTCGCAAAATAAATGCGACATTGAGAAAAAAATATTTTTATTTACATATATTTTTTTATTTATCAGCTTAAATTACTTAAATTAGCTTTATTAATTTTTAGAATGATCCCTTATAAGTTATAGGGGTGTTTTTTTTTAATATTCTATATTTGATTATCAAGCTCTTAAATTTAAGTTTCGAAATATGATAGTTTAATATTATTAAGTTTTATTAAACAGTATGATTTATTTCAGTATACTAGGCCCATTTTTTTGTTAAAAATATTTTTTCTTAAGCTTATAGATTGAAATTCAATGTATTTTTTAAATATCAAATTTATTGTAAGAAAAAATTATTCTTAAGGTTAGATTTTAAATGAAATTCAATAGGAATCTATTATTATTTTCTTACGTTATAAGTTGATATAATTTTAGTTATAAACGAATGGTGTGCGCTATGTAAGCACAGATATTTGTACCTTATGGTAAAAAGTAGAGCGTTGCTAACACTAACCCGATACTTACGTATAAATTTTTAAATGCTAATATATCAAATAGTAATTTTATTTAACTTGTTATCGACTAGTGATAATTTTATTAACACCATTATCCATTTAATAGTAGATAATAATTTCCCATTTAACTTTACCACTAAAATATACCATAAGCAATATTATTTTCTTACAATAAACTTGATATTTACAATGTTTTATAAAAGTAAATTAAATGTTTTATTTATACATTTTAATGGAAAAAATCATTATTTTACGAAAAATCGGGATTAGTATACTAAATAAATCACACTGCTTAATAACATTAAATATAAATAATAATAATTATTTTTATTTATTGATTATAATCAATGTTAAAAAAAACATTATCATTGCGGTTTTTTTCATAGAGCAATTACTCTATGGTGTACACACATTATACTCAATATAATATTGAATTTAAATTATATTGTCGTTCTAAGTATATGAAGGATGGTAATAGTTATTATCATTGGACAATTTTTAGCCACGTCTTTCTTTCAGTCAAAAGTATGCTGACTAATATAAAATATTCAGTCTTTGTGATTTAATATTAGATTAATTACAGGTATTTCGATATGATATATGCCACTGTTAAAATATTAGGTAAATGCGAGTAATTGTTATACTTTAGTTTGTATAGAACAGCTTATATTTAAACAAATTATTTTTATGGGAAGTCGTATGTATAAAACATAATAAAAAAAAATTGTTAGTAATAAAAAGATGTTTTGTTGCCGTTACCACTTAACAAGCTCATTGAGTAGAATTGAGAGCAAAACCTTGTACCTTCGCTGTCGAGGTAAAATTAAAAAAAAAGGGTTTTTGTTGTGTACCTATCTCAGTAGAAAACGGCATAGGACGAGGGAACTCCCATCTGTGCCATTTCCGACCTCGGGGACATATCGGATTTATAACAAACATTGTCCGAAACAAATCTTGTCCGGCAGTATTCGCCTCTTCAATTCTCGTCCCTCTCCTGTTCGCTGTCATCGTTTCTGTCGACCGATGTCCCGTTCCATGGGACGACTGAAATGGAAAGCGGGTAAAATGTCTGTAAAACAGGATATGAAAAACGTTATCCGAGGGCTAATTGGATCTCTATAGTGGAGAGTTGGAAAACAAGAAGGGCAAAATTACCGGACATTTCCTGCAGATAATGAACGCCGGTCCCCGCACTGCGTATATCGCTACAGCCGCCCTTGGTGTACGTAACCCTTTTAGTCACCACATCTACGGCCTACTCAGGTGACCCTTTTCTACACGTACACCCGTTCGTTATATTGTGTAACTCACGTGTATCCAAATATCTTCATTACACAGGTTACTGCAATACAAACATAATGTGCGCGCTCCTCGTGGGACGTACACTTGACTTATATCATACACCTTCAATGCAGTGGACTAATTCTACATCCAATTACACTCCTCATAAAGTCACTAATCCCCGAGGAGAACCGCGTGTTATTTGTACGTTTTTTAATTCATTTAATGATTTTTCCAACGGCGTATAATATTCGTACTGTAAATTTGTAGTTTTCCTGCAAATTATATGTAGTTTCCACTAACATAGGGTAAGTTTACAGGTGTATTAAATTTTAAATTTAATAGATTTGAAGTATGTGAAATTATACTTTACAGTATAACTTCTATATAAGTAAATGCCAAAAAAAATAAATAAATCATAATAAAGAGAAAGTCTTTAAATAGAATTACAGATATTCGATATAGTATTAAAAATCAAATGTCACGTCATACATATTAGGTATACTTTTTAATATTTAATTTAAATATTCAGTGAGATTTGTTCGCTTATTATTTTTATAAATTGTACTTTTTCCGAAAAATGTTTCGATTTTATTGAGTTAAAATAAAATGTTATCAGTAACACTTGCTTGTTGATTGTTGAAACCATTTCTCGCGATTTAAAAAGTATTTTGTATCTCAGGTATTGTTATCTAAATATAAATATTTTATAGACTTATATTATTATTTTAGTATTAAATTTTATAACGTGCATAATTTGTATGGAAGTTTGATCAAATATAAAACAACAGATAAAATAGTAAAATCTAATACTATATGAAATAAAATACAAAATGTATTTCAAATATTTTAATGATTCAAACATAGTCGTCTGCAATATCTTGATTAACTCAAAATGATGATTATAACTTTTTTTTTGACTTTAATAAAATATAAATATTGTTAATTTAAACATATTTAGTCAGTGACTTCAAAAAATCATAAAAAATTAGATAATACTCTTTTTTCAGTTATAAAAACACTTTTAGCTTCGATGTAAGGCAGAGAACATATTAGTTTTAACATGATATGTTTTTTTAATGTCCGTTCATGAAAATTCATAGCTTTCATTAGACCGATTTTATTATTTTATTCATCAAAGGAACTCAATTTTAATCTAATTTTAGCTGATATTGCCAAAAATTTTAAAAATCCTCTCAATTTTAAAAATTAAAAAAATTACGCTACCGTACAAAATGGTATTTTCAAATTTTTTCTGCATTATAAAACTGCTCAAACTTTTTTTAAACTAACTCTAATCAAATAGAAATAAAATGAATACAGACTATAAACTTGTTTTTTATATGCTTTGTATGAAAATTCAATCAATGCATGTAAACAAATTGTTTTTAACTCTATTTTTGAAAATGTTCCTGAACATCTAACAATTTTTAATCTAAATTAACAATAGTCCATAAGGTAAAAAGAATATTTAAAAAAAAAAATCTATCTCATGACTATTCTACTATGAAAAGTCGGCACCATATTGACAATTTTTATAATATAGCAATTTTTAATTAAAAATATACAAATTTAACAGATTTTTTTATATTGATGTTTATCACAGTTAGATGTCACCTATACTTGTTTCAATTCTGCCGCAACCACACAATATTAGGTTTTTACAATTAGAGAAGAGAATATTAAAAGAAATAATTTTATATATTTAAATTTAAATGTGAATATGTTTTGCAATTTTATTAATTAATCTTTCTTTTAAATAAAGTCTTTGTTTTTTCGTAAGTTATGATACAATTTCGAATTCTTTTCGCACTTTTAAATGCTTATTCCATGTGATATTTCTTCGTGGAACTTTTTTATTTTTACTTATTTTATCACATTGTTTATCTTCAGTATTTGAATCAACATCTGCACAATTTAAAACATTTTTAAGTGGGCGAATTTTTATCATTTAAATAATATAGAAAACGTTCATCAATAAATGAATATTATTGGAGATAGAAGTATTTATATACACAATCCATATTAGTGCGTTGATTTTTATATTTTCTGAAATCATTTAGGTATATTCAGTACAAATAAATTAAGTTCTTACATTAATTTTCATGTTAGATTTAAGCTTACTAAATTAAAACTAAAATATGACATTAATATAAAAGTAAAATTGTTAAAAAACTGTACTTTTTATTATTAATAAATAATAAAATAAGTACAAATTGTATACACGTGTAATTTGAGAACAATACATAGTTAAAATTAACCAATAATTTTTTTTTTAATATCATCATTAAATTAATTATCAAAAATTATAATTTATTGAATGTATAATTATAAACGTATGACCTTGTATACAGAGTGAGTTTTAAAATACTAAAGAATTCAGCCAGCTCATCAAATATAAATCCACCTTTTTAACTACACCAAATCAGAAATTCTGAATTTCATTAATTTTTTCGGCTAAAATTAAATTTGGTTCCTTAATGTACTGATCAAGTTTTTTTTTTTTTTGAAAGTGTAATGATTAACCTACTTTGGTAGTTTAAAAATCAGATCATTTTTTTTTTTATTTAAACTATTGATAATATTTCAAAAAATCTACATTAAATTAAAGCTAATACAATATTTTTTTAAATAAAAAAAATAATAATTATATGAAATCTTGATTTCTTGGAGTTATTAGCTACTAAAGAAATAATTGAGATTTTTGCATGGTAATGGAATACTTGCATTATTATAAATTAAAGCTTGTGTATTGAAAAAAGTTTCAGTGATATGGCTTTATATTTGGTAAATCAGATCATTTTTTTTTTTATTTGTTCCAAATACGCATCGAAGACTTATGCAACAATGATTAAACTTACTGCCCTATACCAATCAATGATAATG